TCCCATTATAAAGCAGGAAATCTGAACAACAAGACGTGGTGGGGGTGGTAGCAACAAGGTTTACTTTAATACTTCTTTGATAACTTTTAAAAGATTAAATACCTCTCTCTCATTCATTCTTTGGAGCCAAGATAGAACATAAACAAATGAAAACAATGAGAAAACTATACAACCTTTCTGAAAGTCGTGAACAAAGCCAAGTCACAAAAAATTTAAAAAAAAGATCTATCATCCATATTTTATATGATAGCAGAACTTGAAAGTTTGTATTATGCTGAAAGCAGCTAGGAAGGAACTGTACGCTGTATTTTGGATATCTTCAAGAGAAAGACCATTTACTTTTCCACATGTCCACTATAAATCACATTGTCATTTGTTACGTTTGGATAAAATCCCCGAGTTCTGTGAAACGGAAGCAACTATCTGATGGGAAGAACAGCTTGGAAAGCAACAAATTGCCATAAACCTATGTTTACCCATCTGCAGAGTCAGCTGAAGTTTCCTAAATTGAAAAAGGAATACACCAAAACCAAAAAAAAAAAAAAAAAGGCCAAAAACAAAGAGAAAACACTTGTAGAATTTTTGTCCATATTAGGACTTCCTTTAGACAATGAGATGCTTAAAGAAAAAATAAAGTGAAGAGAAAAAAAAAAACCCTTCAATTAACAAAAATGATGAAAGTACAGCAGCAGAATTAAACAACATTTGGTAGTTAGGTATGCTGCCTGCCATTTCTTTCTTCTCTTCCTATTCTGGTCCTTCCCTCTACCATCATGTCTCCCCAGTTAGGTGGCTTAGATATTTGGGTCTTTTTTGTTTTCTTATTATGCCAACTGCATGAAAAGAAATATTGATAAAATTTCACAAACATATTTATTATTCTTGTTACTTATAATACTTAAGGCATCTTATTAAAAATGTGATATAAATTTTATTACATAAAAATCAGTATCATTCCTCATCATAGGCTTTTATGTAACATGTTGAACAGTATTCATAGTGAATATTAATTATAACTGACATAGACACACACAGACAACACCCATCCAAGAAAATACCACATAGAGGTACAAAAAAAAACAAAACAACTAATCCTGCAATAATCTAGTTGAAAGAAATTATTTCCTTCAAAAAAATGTACCAAGAAGAAATGATTTTTGTCAAATAATGTGGAGAAAAAGAAGTGTATCTTGGGTTTTACACCAAGATCCCAGGTACTAAAGTAAACCAAATATCTGAAGGTAAAACCACTATAAGAATAGAAGACAGGACCCTGAAACAAGATGGCACTGAAGGCGAAGCAGGAAGCTCCTGCCCCTCCTAAAGCCAAAGCCAAATCCAAAGAGCAGGCTTTAAAGGCTAATAAGGCAGTATTGAAAGGTGTCCACGGCCACAGAAAAAAGAAGATCCACCTGTCATTCAACTTCAGGTGGTCCAAGACACTACAACTCTGGAGGCAGCCCAAATATCCTCTGAAGAGCATCCTCAGAAGAAACAAACTTGACCACTATGCTATCATCAAGTCTCCACTGACCACTGAGTCTGCCATGAAGAAGACAGAAAGATAAAAGACAACAGCATACTTGGCATTAATCGTGGATGTTAAAGCCAACAAGCACCAGATCAAACAGGCCGTGAAGAAGCTCTATGACACTGATGTGGCCAAGGTCAATACTCTGATTCAGCCTGATGGAGAAAAGGCGTATGTTCGACTGGCTCCTGATTATGATGCTTTGGATGTTGCCAATAAAATTGGGATCATCTAAATGGAGTCCAGCTGGCTAATTCTAAATATATGTATATCTTTTCACCAAAAAAAAAAAGGTAAAAAGAATAGAAGACAGATGACTCTTAATTGTCCATAGAATATATAGACCTACAATCAAGATGGAAAAGGATATTCATAAAAATCATTCAAGAAGTAGCAATCACAAAGCTGAGAGAGAAAAATAATAACAAATAGATTTTAGGAACACATATATACTAAGAGTATGAAGATATCTTTCCAATTTAATTGGTAACACGTATTTATTAGGATTGTTCATATATATTGTACAATATACATTATACATCATGTGTTGTGTATAATATATATTATATACAGTCAGAAATGGCTATCACAACTAAAGGATAGTAAACATAATTAGAGAGCAAATCACCACTTAAAAATTATTAATAGTTGAAAACAGCTGCATACAACAAACAATATATATAACATCCCTGAAAACACAGATTTCAAATGATGTAAGAAGCCACAACAGATCACAGAATCACAGAATAACTAGCTTAGAAAGAACATGAAAGCCTAACCATGCTTCAAGCATCTTCAAGGAAACACAAAACCATGAAATTACGAACAATCATATTCAAAAGAAATTTTATTATAATACAAAAGTGAAACTTTTAGAAAAAGAGAATTATGGAGAAAATAAGAATAAAACAAGACCAAAATATACAGTTTCTAGAGAGAGCAACAACTGCTGCAATACCCATTCACTCACTCAACAATTATTCATTGAATATATTTGTGTGCTAAACTGGGGATGCAATGATAAACAGAAATGGCTCTTTCATGGAACATATATTCTAGAAGTCATAAGATCTAGACAAGTATGACAGTGTGAATCAAAATTATCAAAGCTGTGAATGGATGTGATCTCAAAAGAGCCAGTTCTTCAAGATGGATCCCGTGGCTAACTCAGTTTACACTCAAATTGAGTCAAGTGGCCATCTGGTGACTAGAAGTCATTCATGTTATTCTGAGTTCCCTGAAAATTCACACCTCTGTTTAACTTAGGACTTTAAGAACTCACCTGAACCCACTAATCAGAGCTCACCTACCCTGTCCAATCAGGGCCCAGTTGTATCCAACCAATCAGAAATTGGTTGTGTTGACCAATCGGAACTAAGCAAGTTTGAATCCTTTATTTGCATAGATGGACCTGACTGGAAACCTAGTGCAAAATTTTTCACTATAAAATCAGAGCCCATGACTTGAGTCAAGGATTTCTAGGCTACAGTAAGTATGATCACATCACTGCACTCTAGTCAGGGTGATAGAATAAGACCTTGTCTCAAAAGTAAGTTACATCAAAAATTAAAATAAAATAAATAAAATTTCTTTTCAGATAACTGAAAACATACTGCAGTACGTTTCCCAGGTGACTGTGAAGGACCATCAGAATCAAGCTGTGATGAAATACTCACCAGTCCATTCTATTTTGGGGCACTGCAACCAAACTCTAGATATATTAGGTTGAACTCTTCCCAACTTTAGTTTCCAATTAAGTCCTAGTTTTACTCTTGGGATTGCATACAACACCACAAACCTAATCTGTCTACAGGCCAAACACCCCCAGCTCCTTCAGCTTAGACATGGTATGTTTCAAGCCTGATCACCCTAAATTTGTCTACAGTTTTTATTTACGTAACATATCCAGAAGAAAACATAATCCTCATGTAGAACACAATGGGGATACTCTCTCCTTCACTGGAAATACAATAATTGTATTAGCACAGCTTATGTGTCTTTTTTTTTTTTTTCAATCTGTATTCTGTTTAAATGTGTGTGTTTTTCTAACCTGTGGCCATATCATATATTATGCTTACTTTTAAAAACTTACTTATTTTGAAATACTTTTAGGTTTACACAAAAGTTACAATGGTAGTACAAAAAATTCCCGCATCCCCCTGCGCACCCAATTTCAGTTTCCATAACATTATCATCTTTGACTTCAGCAGTGCATTTATCAAAACCAAATATGAGCCTGCTGTTTCACAAAAAAAAACTTTATATCATTTTATACAAATTACTTCCCTGAGCTACTTTTCCTTCATCCCAAATAGAGACTTTTAGTTTTTCTTTAGTTTAAAGTACATGAGGCAAATGTAGAAATTTACAGTTAATACTGTTAGATTCAAATCCTGAATTTTACATGATGAAATCTTCCTCTGACTCTTACAAGGTGAAATCTAAGGTCCAATATGTGTTAAAATTTTGGGCTCCTATACTTGTTAAGATACTCTAAGTCAATGTCCAGTTCAATATACCCACTCTTGCCTTTAGCTTTATGTCACATACATATTTAGTCAGCAAAACTTCCATTCTTTCATTTAATTCAATAAGCTGAGGCTTGGGGTAAGGTAAAATTCTCTAGAGTTGCAATAATTAACTTCTAATGCATACCATCACTATTACAAATCCAATCAGTTAACTGTATATACAATTACTTAATATTTTTACAAAAAAAATTCCTGCCTGAGGTAAGTTCAGACCCATTGTATCTCCACATTTTCCCTTGCTTATTAGTCTAATATATATTTGTATATTATGCTTCTTTGGCTGAAAGGTGTTGAGTACCTGCACAATGAAAGGAATTCAATCCCTCAAATGACTCTGAAACACTTAGGCAAAAAAGGAACTCTCTAAACTAAGAGCTAGGGCAACCCACTAAAGCAGTTAATGACCATGTGTGAAAACTGGTGCTCATAGGAAATCCACAGAGAATTTCTATGAGTCCCAAGCTAGAATCAGAAGAAATAGCATGATGGTATTGGTAGCATTATCTCTAGGAAGAAAAGAGAATTCAATTTATCCTCTTGAAATTAGTTACCAGCTTTAATTATTATAAAGCTTAGTGAACAAAATTGCATAAGATAGCAATTTACTATTGAAATCCAGATTTAAAATGATAATTTAGACATGTGTACCTAAAGATAGCTATACTCAGCTGTATCAATCACTGCCAGGAGATTTTTCTAAATAGTTTACTTCTCCTCAAAAGATGTGACTAATTTCCAATTCTGTTTATCTCAAAACCAGGCTGTGGAATTAGAGCTTTTAAATTGCAAAATAGAACTGACAACGCTTTCAAAAAGGTTGCAAACTAGCAGCCTTCTTGTCAGACCAGTGAGCTTCTTTAAAATGGGAAACTCATAAAAATAATAAAAAACCTTTTAAAATGCATCAGAAAGCCAAAAACAACACTCTTCAAATTTACCTCATAATAACTCCGAACTGCGTTGCAAAATGCTTCATCAGCTACGATTTGGGTTTCCCCATTGAGGAAGGCCTGGAACCGTTCTTTCAGTAACTGCAACTGTTGCTTGTTAAGCTACAGGAAAAACAAAAAACAAGGCGATCAATTAGCCAGTATATGAAAAATGATGACGACTAAAAGTTGTATCTGCTGTATATATATTAGATTTCACACCTAGAGTTAACTTTATGATAAAGAAAAATAAAAGCTAAAATATCCTACTACCTGTACGAATGGTTAGACTTTATTTGAGATGGAGTCAAGCTCTGTCATCCAGGCTGGAGTGCAGCGGTACAACCACAACACACTGCAACCTTCACCTCCCGGATTCTCCTGCGTCAGCCTCCTGAGTAGCTGGGATTATGATGCCTGCCACCACACCTGGCTAATTTTTGTATTTTTAGTACAGATGGAGTTTCGCCATGTTGGCCAGACTGGTCTCAAACCCCTAACCTCAAATGATCTGCCAGCCTTGGCCTCCCAAAGTGCTGGGATTACAGGCATGAGCCACTGCCCCCATTAAAGGTTAGACTTTAAAACATTTCTGTCATTTCATGTACTTAATAATCCTGATATGGAAATTTCTACACCATACAGAATTCTTGTGATTGCCATCCTGGTTTCTTTATAGACAGAGAAAATCTGACATTTGGATAAGAAATTAACTATTAATATTACACAAAATTGCCAGCTGTTCTAAACAGAGAAAGTAGAGAAGATAACTTAGAGGTGAGGGATGGATGCCTTGGACAAGAGCTAAAGGAAGAAAGACTGAAAAGACAGAATGGATCCTAAGAAAGATCGCTTTGGAAAGAACAACTATTGCATGACAAAATTTGGATTCCATGAACAAACATACATCAACACCCAAGGTTAGATAAATGAAGGAAAAATAAGAAAACAAAGACGACAAATCCAAAAGAGAACAGAGAGGCGGCAGGTAGGCAGTGAATGGGTCTTTGAGTACAAAGGAGGAAAAGCTGAGAATTGGGGAAGTTTACAACCAGGGGTCCTTACCCTGGGTCTAGCTTCCCTAATTATTACAGAGGGTGAATTAGACATGAAATGTGACTTACCAATCATGTCCTCTAGTCATCAACTACAAGCAGGGTGAGCTGTTTAATTTGTAGGGCCCAGTGCAAAACAAAAATGCGGAGCTTCTTAGTAAAAAAATTATTAAGAATTTCAAGACAGCAGGAACAGAGAGCATTAAGCCAAGTACAGAGCCCATCTAGGCTCTAAGCCCTGCACAACTACACACACAGGGGCATGTACTTCACTAGAAGCAAGCCATCTTAGGTAACGCAGAAGTCTCCTTTTTTTTTTCTTTCATGCTTAACTGGAGAGAAAACACCATAGTTTTGGGGGGATAAAACAACAAATTCCAAAATACGTTAAGTTGAAGGGTGGAGGTCTAGGGGAGGGATAGCATTAGGAGAAATACCTAATGTAGATGACGGGTTGATGGGTGCAGCAAACCACCATGGCATGTGCATACTATGTAACAAACCTGCACGTTCTGCACATGTATCCCAGAATTTAAAGTATAATTTAAAAAATTTTTAATATTTAAAAAAACAAAAATTATAAACAACAATAAAAAACAATATAATACTTAAGAAACAGCAAAGGAATTATCCTCCATTTCATTCAATCCTGATCAGACTTTATTAACAAACTCATTCCAGTTCTGGAATCTACAGAGGGATGTGAAGCATCTGGAAATATGCTGAGAATAAAATGATTAAAGGATTAGAAAGACTAAACAAACTGGTACGACTTGGCTTCGAAAAGAAGGCTGACATGAATTAAGTATAAATCTGTTCAAAAGTCTTATTAAAATGCCATTCAAATATAAGGAAGGCAGGCTCTTTCAAAAACTGGGTTCTATTTAGGACTCTAACAAATAAGACAGTTTGTAAAGAAACTGTTGCTGGGAGTAACAGACTGATTTTAAAAATAAAAAAGTGTCCTATTGTACCCGGAATGGGGGGAGAACATTTTGCCCTGGGCAGTGAATAAAGAAGACCATTCCATTTCTTTAGTAAGGTTAATCTCCTTATTTTAGAGAAAGCTAAAACCAAGCTGAGGTTCAGGAACATTAACAATATATTACAATCTCCGTTTTTTTAATATGAAGAAAATGGAAGCAGGGACTTTTTGTATGTGTGTATACTAGCAAGGCAAATTAAATTCATGACTTTAGCTCTCTAAGCATGATTCACAAACGGGACCAAATGGAAATGGAACAGCAATTGCTAAGAGTGAAGTAGCTAAGAGCACCGTATTTATACTAAGCTCTGGAAATTGCCAAGAAGAGCTTCACCTTGCAAACCAAGTGAAATGATGGCAATGGAAATGTATGCAAGAATCACAATGAACTGAAGTAGACTTTACTGCTCATTTGTGCTGGCTCCTTGGCTTGATAAACAAGGTACATACTGTTCAAAAGCTAGAACCTGTGTATTTTTTCATTCAATTTTATTTTATCAAAGGCATTCTTTTGGTTCTTTAAAAACTCTTCTAAACTACCCTATTTGAAATTTCTAGATGATTAGTATTTAAGTTCAGCTGTTATAACAATGAGTTACTTTTTGGTAATTACAGTGTAGAAATTCATGGATATGAATCAAGGAAAGGAGATTTGAGCAAATCATCTTCTTGGAAGCTCCAACAAAGTTGGTATAGTTCATAAAACATGCCAGAAACTCCTGGGCAAGTATCAGTCAACATTTTTATGAATAGAAGATACTACAGTTACACTGAAGACATAAAATGGATCAAATATTACTATTACATACAAAAAGCAAATAAATTGATACTTTATTAACATAAAGAAGGAGTCTAAATTTTGACATAGGCAAGACAGGGGTAGGAAAAAAAAACTCAACTTAAAATCTAGCACTGGGGGTATTTTTGTCAGAAAGCAGTGTTTTCTAAAAGCTGTTGGCATTATCAAGATAAACCATACTGTATGCCATGAGACAGAGAAACCAGTGGAACAGATCCAAGAAATAGACCGAAATACAATCAGAAATGTACTATAAAACACCTATATAGCAACTCAAATCAGTAGTAAATGATGGTCTATTCAATGAATGCTGTTAAAACAATATAAAAGATGTTTAACATCATGTCATCAGAGAAATGCAAATTAAAATAATGAGATTTACTACAAACCCACGAGAATGGACAAAATCCAAACACAGACAACACGTGATGCTGGCAAGGATGCAGACCACAGGAATCTCTCATTCTTTGCTAATGGGAAAGCAAAATGGTATAGGTACTTTGCAAAACAGGTTGATGGTTTCTTATGAACTAATACACTTCTATCATATGATCCAGTAATCACACTCCTTGGTACTTACCCAAAGGAGTTGGAAATTTATGTCCACGCAAATACCTGGACACAAATGTTTAGAGTAGCTTTTTTCATAATTGCCAAAATTTCAGGAGATGAATGAATAAACTCAGGTACATCCAAACAATGGAATGTTATTTAGCAAATAATGAAATAAGCTATCAAGCCATGAAAAGACATGGAGGAACCTTAAATGCATATTGCTATGCAAAAGCAGCCAATGTAAAAAAGGCTACATACTGTACGACTCCAACTATGTGATGTTCTGGACAAGGCAAAACTATGGCAACAGTAAAAGGATCAGCTGTTGGTAACAGTGTAAGCTATGCATGTGTGAGGGAAGGATATAAATGGGAAATTTCTTTACCATCCACTCAAGCTCAATTTTGCTGTGAGACTAAAACTTTTTTAAAAAAACCTCTACTAAAAGTATTTAAACGTCATAAATTTAATTGCATAAAAAATAAATTGTACATGGCAAAAAACACCATAAGCAAAATAGGAAAAGATTAACTAGAAAAGAAAACCCATTACCCAAAGAGTCCATTTCTAAGCATATAGTTTCTAGAAATTGATAAGAACATCACCAATAAACCAACAGAAAAATGGACAAAACTGATACGTTTTGGGCAGTAAAGATAACATAATAAGGTATTATCCATAGTCTTCCTCCAGGTCATTTTAAAAATTTATGAGAACTGTATGAAAAGCCATTTTAAATGTAGATATTCTTGGAATCAGCAAATCCACTTTGGGATTGGATGAATACTACAGATATACCTGCACATGTGCAGAATGACATGTGTATGAGGTTATTTACCACATAATTCGTAACAGCAAAAATATGAAAAACAATCTAAATGTTCATAGATGGGAGACTAAGTTATGCTACATCTAAACAGTGGTATACTATTCATTGCATTAAAAGAATGTAAACGTTCTCTATGTACAGATTTTAAAGAATTTAAAAATATCTTAGAGCAGAAAGCAAGTTATAAAACAGCAGTTAAAATAAGTCACCACTCATAAAGAAAATGGGCAAATAAGAACATGTATGTGAGTTTGCTTCCATATATAGACAGAAACGAGGGAAGAAGGATGGCTGTGGGAACTGGACAGACAGAAAATACTAGGTAAATGAGATTTTTCAACATGTAGCACTTTATTTATTTTGAGTTTTCAAGTGAAAGAACCCGTTTATAAATTTTAATTAATTTAGATTTAAAATAAGCTATAACAGCAACTCTGGACATTTTTAAACTCAAAACAGTTATGAAGCACTGTGAATAGCTTAAATCCTATCCTACATGGAGACTGGACAACACACCTATTTCTTCAATTCTCCTTTTAGGTAAAAACTTCACCTTGACTCTGTGTCTATCTTTTTAAACGTTTCAATTTTGAGGATTTCAAAAATGCTTAGACCAAGAAAATACTACAGTAATCATCCTATTCAACATTCTAATCAATGCATTAATCTACACAAAATCCATGCAAGTAGTCTTTCAGATTCCATTGGACCTATTAATACACATACACAAATACACATCCTTTTGTAACCTCAGTGAATCCTATTCTAATTTGGAACAATTATAAAAATTTAAATCAGTTTCCATATGGCTTCCATACAACTCTGGTACTATACACTAAGATAAAACAGACTGTTACTTTCATTCTTTAATACAGCAGTTCAAGACTCTGAAGATAAAAA